CAGGGGCAACTGGGAATTTGAGATTCGCCACTTGGCGGCCCAAAGGAGAAGGCAGAGGACAGCGTTGCCATACCCAGCATGACGTATCCATCTATGAAATCCAGGGCTTGTCTAATGGGCGTGGAATCGGAGTCAATGATCCCGTTTTTTGTCCTCATCTGAACTCTGTCGATGCTGTGGGTGTCCCCTATTCCTGCACCCTGACCTGTCAGAAGAAAATTCCATTTGAAGGCACCATCACTTGGTGCCAATTCCTATCATGGGGCCAAGTGATTGTCTACGTGGAGGGGAGCCGCGCGTTGGTCTTATGGGATTTAGCAGACGAAACTCCGGTGGATGTGGTGCACCTGAAACTAAGTGGCGTGGTGGAGTCGCAGGAGCCGCCTGTGCTTCTGGCAGCTTCGCCAGAAGACTTCCAGATTGCGGTCGCGCATCTTGCCTTGAACGGCGACAGGCATGTTGTTCATGTGCAGATGTTCGTCACAAAGGGCATGTTCAAGGTTATGGATACGTCAGCAAGCATGTCTGGTGGATATGAGGCAGGAAGCATACAGTTGCTTGAGTTTGGACCTTGTGGAAGGAGTCTTGGAATGTTGGTGAATCATTCCAAGCTGCTTGTATGGATGTTGAGACTACCCTTTCAGGGAGCAGCCACGCTATCACTACCAGTACCAGGATTGACAGCCACTCAGGCAAGAACAACTTTCCTTCCAAATTTGGAAAGAATGGGAACTGAACATATTTCTCAAAGGCCTGTTGCTCCTGCAGAATTGGTGTTTTCCCATGATGGGAGCACGTTGGCTGTGTCATACAGAGAACTGACGTCGGCTGGACTGCTTGTCAAGAGTGTCGAAATGGACGTGTGGACATTGTATGGACACCAAAAGTCTGGCCGAGCCACATCACAGCCGCCATTGCAAGTCGCATGGAAGGGGCTGCACCTTGTTTCTCTATCTGGAAATGGGAAGAAATGTGCAATTGTCACTCAAACAGATTGCAACAGCTCTCTGGCCGTTATTGTATGGAATATTGGGGAGGACATTGGTCGAAATTCAGGCAAAGATCGCTTGGAGGAGGAGGCCCTGACCTATCAGGTTATTGACCACGATGGATGCATTGGCGAAATGCCCATTGCGATTGCACTAACAGGGACTGAGGATGAAGAAGACGAGGTGGTTGTTTGCAATGCAGAGGGGGCACTGATTTGGATGCAAACTGGTCACAAAGGGCAATTACACGCATGCAACATGGAGGCATGCCCTGGTGCGATTTGCCGAATATCGTCTGATGGAAAACGTGCTGTGATTCTCAAGAATTGCAAGACCTTAGACATTTGGGACTTGGAAGAAAGGCAAATCCAATCGACGCATTGCATTGGTGACCGGTCGGATCTTTGTGCAGCTGCAGTGGCATCTGACAGAATGTTCTTTGACGGGTGCCTGATAGCATATGGTCGTGATCATTGTCAGTATTTGCTGCAGCAAATGCAGCACAGCACTGAAGCGGATAACAATCTGTGCAGCCAAGAAGTTGCATTTATGGCTTTGGAAGATGACCGAACGATACTAGTGGGCTCCAATTTCACTGGTCTTGCACTCTTCCCCAGGGACAAGTACTGCAAAGCGGATGTTCTGCCAAACACATCTGAACCAGCTCAGAAAAAACTACTGAGCCACGCACGTTCTGGTTTGGAATTCAGTGAATTGAGCTATCCCATCCTGACTGTAAGTGGTAATGGAAGAGTGGTGGCTGGTATGCTGGAGTATGGTTGCGTGAGGGTATGGACACCATTTTCGACGTCATTGAGCCTTCTTGACTACTGCGAGCTGGAGCTCGAGCAAAGCATGCTCCAGAAAGACGTCACGATATTGAGGAAGTTGCTTGCAATGCATGGAATCGCAATCCTAAACCATCCTGGAGACGATGGAATGTCAATTTTCTTAAGGGCAGTGGAGGAAAACAACCAAGAGTGGGTTAAGGCAATGTTGGAGTGGGCAGAAACTGATGGGTCAACTGTCCGCTTAAGTCCATTAAGTGGCAGCACATCTCACTTGAATGCCCTTGATCTGGCCATCCAAAACCGAAATGGGGCAATGATCGATATGATTTTGGATGCACTGTTCAACAGATTGGTGAAATTTTCAGAGGCTGCTGATGTGATGAGCAAATCATTTTTGAGTCTCCAAACTCTGTTTCCCAGAATATTGTACAAAAGATTTTCCAATAATGCAATGTTTTTAACCATGGGGAAGATGGAGGTGTCTGTGGACACTTTCGACAGAAAAGAAAATCTGGTCGTCGGGACTCATGATGGACTCTGCTCCCACATCAAGATGGATAGAAATGCATGGGATACTTTCGGAAGTAGGATTGTTCAGATTTCCAAGTCGAGATGTGTGTGGAGTCGATGGAAACAACGCTGGGAGATGCATGCTCTTCAAAAAACTAATGAAAGCTCAGCATCCAAGACTATTGCCTTCTGCAAGGCCATTCCCTTTTCGGATATTGCACAGGTGAGCTCTAAGCATGGAGATATTTATGAGTTTCCTCAATTTTGTGGATCTGTTGTGGATAAAATTTATTTTTTTTCTTTGTGGTTTTAGTCTGACCATTGGATTCTCTTCTCATGGCCTTTCAATGAGCAATCTCACCAAGAACAAACCAATGCCATCTATGCAATGCAATGTTTCTTAAAGTGCAGCATATACATATGACAAAGGAAATATCACACAATATGTTCTAGAATATACCAATTTGATTACTTCTTTTGTGAGTGAATGTACGTACCTAAACTTCATGGAACGAAAGTGCATATTAGGGACTGCTCCCAGGCAAGCAAACACCAGCCACTGACCATGAACTGGTGACTCTGCTCCCATACTCATTATTTACGGCATAAGAACAACATATATAGGCGTAGTTGCACTTAAGAGTACATCTACTTTTTGCGTTTTACTTCAAACAACTGAAAATGGGTAAATATGGGCTGTGCGATCACACACTAGTACGCAAAGACTCACGAGTCTGGAGAGTGGCATTCGTATGTGGTGGACACAATGTTGTGATTGTTTGTTTGACAGCGTTGTTGCCCTTGCTGATTGGGAGGTGAATACCGTATTACTGGTGCACAAGGGGGCGGCAGATCAATCATTGTTTGCGACCCCATAATTTCAACATAGCTGTGTCAACATGCACTGAAAATGTGTAAACATGGCGTTAAAGATGGGAGGTTACCTATTTATGCGCTTTTGCGTGCAAAAGCACAAACACAAGAATGGTGCCGTAAATGTAAATAACAGACCTGCCTGCTCCAAAGTTGCGTTTATTGGCAAGCAGTTACTGTGTGGCAAATACAGCCCATTCCTTACTTAGACCATCTTCACAGTACGAAGGCGACGCAAATTCCACGTCTTTGATCTCTGCTCGTGTCAAATATTTGGTACGAGCAAATAAGATACGTCCCATGGACGTATGGATTGGTTGCCCAAATAGTGTGTGAGCAGAACAGCAGGGCCAGCGATCTTGGCAAGATTGGGACACCGTCGCCTGGGCAGCTTGAAAAAATTTAGCACCCCCATGTGTCCCAGTGATTGCACTCATAGCACTGCACAAGAATAACAACCATTATGCAAGGAGTAATGCATTTCTATTGATTTTCTGTGGTCACACAAAGCAGTTGTGCTTTTCACACAATGCGTGCGCACGTGTTGTTATGTATTTGTGCTTATGCAAGTCGCCAATGTCCCTGTCGCATTGTGTTTCAAGTGACGATGGCACTATAATCAAAGAGATCAGCAGGGGGATGGGCCTTGGATTGATGCCAGCAGAGTGTGTGGCATTGGTTTGGGTCCAGGAGGCGGCACATGCCTTGATGGGTAGGGCTATGCCGGTGCATGTGCCACGGAGTGGCAACTTCACTGGCGGTGTTGGGTGGCATTGATATTGAAAACTCCAATTGAGCCATAGTGTTTTTGGTCAGCTTCACCCAGCTGAGAGTTTTTGGCCAAGATGGCTCAAGAGTACTGGGCGACTCCAGTGATAAGAGATTGTGGCAGCTTATTACAATTCCCAGGGGATGGCGACAGGCTGCCAGTATCTCTTGTTCTCTCCAATCTCAATCTCATCGCTTCTCAGAGTGCCCATAGGTACTGTGAATCTCCTGAGGAGGCAGGGTGATTGGGATCCCACGAGGCCTTGACCACTGGTTGTACAATGACTAGCTGGTGCAAAGGGAGATACACTCAACAATGGCTGGGCATCTCGCCCTATAAGGCAGTAAGGTTGGAGTGTCCACGATGGCCACTAGCAATTTCTGCGTTCAGCGATTAAATGGCAGGTGGAATGGGGAGGTCAAATGCCAGAGCGGGTGGTGGTGGGGAGGAACCAGACTCTAGCTCCTTGGCACCGATCGCCTACAGGGGTCGATCAATGATTGACATGCCTTTCTCCAGCGGATCAGTTTTCCAGTTAACCCATTGTGCTTTAGATGCCTCAGTCTGGCCCGCCATCCAGCTCAGATGCCAGTTGACACATGTGTGTGTGTGGGGGGGGCTGCTGGGTGTGGGGGGGGGTGGGGGTGGGGGCGGCGGGGGGGGGAGAGGAAGAAAGGATAGCTCACGAAATTAGGCTGTCACAGCTCATTCCCAAGCGCCTATGGAACATCATTCTCTCAACCCCGCAACCCATCCCCTTGAATAGTGTATGAACTATGTTAGCAAAACGATGAAGAACTCTAATTGAGTATCTGTGGAAATGCGGAGTTCCTAAATTTCTGCCTTTGTGCTTAGGTCGGCTTTTGTGGGGTTTTGAGGCAGCTGCAGACCACAGACTTCGACCACCATGCACTTGAATGCGCAGTACTACAAAGCGTCATATCTTTCAAATGGAATCTCTTTGCCAGGCGATTGGTTCTGATAGATTTGACATGGCATGCTGTTCTGATTCTTGTGTACTCTGTGACAGTGGTCATAAGAAAAGATGTAGAGAACCCTGCAGCAGAGATGCGCCCATATTTAGTGGACCTGTGGACTGTTGTGAATGTCGCCTTGGTTATAGCCATGTCGTACAAGTTATTCTCTTTCGCTTTAGCTGAACAAGACTTGGGGGATGTACAGCTTCAGAGCAGATGCATAGAGCACAAAGAAATGCTGCGGATTGTAGGCAACAGGAGACTGGAGCAACGTTTTTGGTCTGGAAAAGACTTGGACAGAGCCAACTGGTACTTTCTGGAGCTCCTGACGTATGCAGCCATGGTGAGGGTAGCTTGTGTCGTTTGTTCACCGCTGAAAGCAAAACAGTTTTGTTAACCGTAGGTGAGTGTCATCAAAATAACTGCGGATGAGATCAAGACAAGTCCCAAACTCGATGTAGAATGTTTATACGTGAAATGCTTAGCCCCATGTAACCCTTAGTCTCTGCATTCTTAAATTTAAACTGTATGAAAGCTAACCAAATAAATGGAATGCCGTTTTCCCCAGGTGTTCAGTCTTGCAAGTTTTTATAGTGATTCTATCGACGACTACATTGCGTGGGCGTCGCCAGCGACTTTCCTGCTTCTGTGGTGGAAGATGATGTACTATGGTCAAGCTTTTCAGAACACTGGGCCCCTGGTCATCATAATTTTCCAGGTACTCAGCGACATCAGCTTCTTCCTAATGCTCCTTCTCGCCAATTTTTCTGGATTCACGTTCGCCTTCCACATCTTATTCGCTGGAGACAGGCGCGAGATTTGCAATTCAGCAGAAATTGGCACGGAGGAAGGCACCAACTTTTGCGATGCATTTGGTGGATGGGACCGCACGTTGGCCACTGTGTTCGTGATGATGTTGGGGCAGTTCGACCTCGAGCCGTTTTTCACATCCTCGCACTCGGCGGTTGCCGTGTCGTTTCTGGTCATTTACCTGCTGTTGTCGGCCGTTCTGATGCTGAATTTGCTCATCGCCATTATCGGAGATAGTTTCGACAGGGTGAAAAGGCACGAAACAGCGCATTTTCTGATGGGAAGAGCACGAGTGATCCACGACATGGAATCTTCGCTGTGGTCCTATCAGCGGCGAGCACTGAGGTGATGCGAATCAGAACCTATTATTGCATTTTATGCTATAATTCGCTCCTCACGTGGAATAAATGATACATTTTTTGTCCTATATTAATTGTCCTCTGAGTTTAGAGCCTTTTTGTCACAGAAATTTCAAATTTCAATGGCAAATCATCAAAGTGATGAGCATGAGTTTGGAATGTGCTGTCCCAAATCAAGTCGGTCTGCCAAGTATTGTGAATTTGTCAGCGCATTGTAGTAAATGTGCTTAGTCCAGAAAACCTCAAATTCAGTGAAGAAAAATTTCCCATTCTACACAGTGTACAGTTTTGTTAATTCGCGTTAAGCCAGGTACGTTGGAACACAGTTTTTCAGGGCTGCTGCTTTGTACACGGTGGAAATTGTACACAACCGTCTTCTTTATCGTTTTGTCCATAGTAGCAAGGTAGGACACTTTCGTGCACTTGGAAAGGGCTGAAAAGTACGCGATTTTAGCAAACGCGTACTTTTGATTGGTACACTACTGGTAATACACTATTTATAAATGATTATTATACGAATTTTTCCTGCATAACACAGTAAACGATTTTAATGACCATGTACTTTGACCGATGTCTACTAGTGATTTTGGACGTGGCTACGAGGACAGCCGTACTTGCTGCCTTCGCGGCGGTGAAGCAGAGCCGCTCATATAGAATTCTACACAGTTCTGCAAATGACGTTCACCGTGAGCAATATAGCACGCATTCAGAAGGGCCTAATTGTGGAACTCGCCGTGTTTGGAGAGCACTATACCGCGCGCTGGATGCCGCTTTTGGTACAATATAGTGCTGAATGACGACAGCAAAATTTGAGATATTTCTGACTCATCTGTATTGAACGCTATCATTGTGTCAATTGCTCAAGTGCTGTGACTGAGTCCAAAAGAGATTTGCATTGCTTCAGTTCGGTGGAGTCCGCAATGTCGACTTACTCCTCATTTAGAAAATAGCCGTTGACTAATTGCACTTATATTACTCTCTAAATACCTACATTCTACGTAAGATCGAGTGCACTTGTATTTCATTACATTTATCCTTTCCGTTTCAGGAAGAAGATAGGGCGATATCTGTACGTACTCGTCCCAGAAAGCCAGTACGCAACGAAGTCGAAACACATGTGGCAAGGGAAGATAGCGGAAATGGAGAAGGTGTTAAGGTACGTTGATATTCTTTTCATAATGTTACTGTATTTGTAGATTTGAGCACAGGCTCCTCACGAGGTGACCCAAGAATCCTACCAATTGCAAGACGACATTACGCCAGTGAAAAGAAGGCCAGGTGACATGGTCATGACACAGTCTGCTTCAAGCGTGTCGCTTTGGCGAATGTGGGCCCTAATCACACGCTCAGTACATACATTGACACACAGTCTAGTAGACTACATGTTTCCCAAGGGAACACGATTGAAATTGTGTAGAATTTTACGTCAATGTGTGCATTAACCGTGCCATTTTGTGACGACTTTTGCCAATGCGACACTGTTGGGTTTTGAGCAGGTTGTATCATCACCGTGTTACCTGGTCTTTTTTTTACTAGTTTTGCACTGTGGATAACCTCATAACACTGGAAAATATGGTGTATTGAAGAATTTGAAATTTTCTTTTGTGAAAGGATATTATTATATTCCACAAAACAATGCGATCAACCAGAATTGCGAGGATGCAGCCAAATTTTCCAATGTGCCTTGCTTTGAAGTATATTGTACCCCTGAAGTTGCATCCACATGCAACAGGGAATGGCATCAATGTTTTCCAAGCACCAGGGAAAAGTCGTTTTTGAATTTGGAAACATTTGCGTGGGTGCCTACTCAGGGAGCAGACCCACCAAATTGATAGCAAACTTCAGGAGATGGACGAGAAGCTGCAAGATGTGGATTCGAAGGTGGAATGCATCAAGCGATCGGTGACGGCGCTCGTGGACTCGCAGACAACAGCAGTGAATCAGTGAATTCCCACACCGGGAGTGAAATAGACGAATGCCCATCAGCTCTAGCAGTCAAACGTATCCTTGAATTTGGTCGTGCAAGGAATGGCATTGTGCCAACAGACAGTTGCGCTGCGAGATTTGCCAGTGTTCCACCAGAGAGCTTATGAACAATGTGGCAATGGAGATGGTCTTCTATTCTCCGTGACAGTAGCGAGCACAATTTTGTCCGCCAGAAGCTGGCACTGTCATTGGATCATTGCTAATGGTAGTCAATCATGCATCTTTACATGAACTGTGTGGCGAAGCCATGACTGTTTTTGTGAATCTGTTGAGCCCCGGAGTTAGGCGGCGCCAAAGCATCGACGGTCAAAAGAAACAATGCAGCGATGAAGAGATTTCTCATCAACGGGTGGCTTTGCCACCGCATTCAATGTGGGTGGCAAGTCCTGCTCCTCTTGTATCTACATTATCCAGTTTTGTACGAATTGGGATGGTGAGGGGTTGGTGGGGTTGGGCGTTGGGTGGAAGGGAGGTCCGTCGGCAGTCCGCATGCAATGCGCACCATGCTGGCAATGTGAGTGGGTCCGGTAGAATTCCCCTTAGTAAGCTTGCTTTCGTGGCTCAGATTTCGAATGGAGGGAGAGAAGAACTATAGATGCCAGAAGCTTCCAGCTATCAACGTCGGCTTACGATGGCTTACATACATCACCAGCAGAAAGCTCCATGTTTGAGATGCTGGTTGCGATGCAATTTTGATACAAATTGGTTTCTCACTGTTAATATGATGGCACATCGCAGTTAGCATCGCAAAAATGTCGTTTCCTACCGTTGCATGGTCCTGCTTTAAGGCATAACATGTTCCCATTTGCCAAATACTGCATCACATCTTGCAGGACCTTCGAACAGCTGTCAGTCTTAAGATTTTCTGTTCATTAATAGAAGGCGGGGTGAAACAAACAGCAAACTTCCTTTTGTAAAAGCTCCGGAATTCGATATGGTCATGCCATCTCGAAATCTTGTCATCCTCCATGTCGCTCACCGGCCGGAAAGTGAATCTCAGCAGTCGAGCTGCTGGATGCCCAGGACGATTGAGTTTGTCTAAGAACCCAAAATCCAAAGGCAAGTGGCTCTCTTACTTTTACAAAGCATTAGTCATCACCCAGAAGCATAACAGAGTTCAGGCATTTCTCGGTGCGCCATTTGCTTCAGTTTTAAACACGACCAAACAATCAAGTCTAATGGACAGCTCTTACCAAGGCTCAAATCATATTCCTCGACTCTATATGTTTTCCCACAACCCCAAAACTATTTACAATCAGGTGAGAAATTTGGCCGTTCGGGCTCAGTACCGTGGATGCATTTCAATAAAAATCCTCTTAGTTCCTTGTCTTTTCACTCAACTGTCAATGCAGCTGCTGAAGGAAATCTCTGACATTTGTGTTAGCAGTACATCAATGCATTGGTACTGCCGCCTACACATCTATCCTGCTGCAAGTTTTGTGCCATTAACCCCCTGCAACTACTCCATGCTGTGAAAATATCCGATCGAGTCCCAAACGCACAGACAAACTGCAACAAAATGGCCATTTTGTGGTAGATCAAATAGCATCCCGCTGATTGACCTTTCAGTCAATCAACCAACAGGCCAGTGCACGAATGAGACGTGCCAGTGCAAGCTGTGCCACGGTTGAAATTCAATTCTCATCTGACTCTCACGCTGACGCTGCGATGCACCCGGGACCCCGGAACCGACCTACCAGGCAATGCCGCGGCGTCCTGATTAAACAACCGCAGCCTGCAATACAGATGGAACAAGTCTCCAAGTATTAAAATTGCTTTTCCCCAGATCCGCAAAATTGGGATTACTGGGATGAATTAACAATGCCAAAAAATCGTTGCTTCTGTGTTTCTCTCTTCATTATCCTGAATGCTGACAATCTCTACACAGCTTTAGCGTTCCTTGCTACTATTCATGGCACACTCATTGACTTATCCAAGGTAATCCACAGTGTGACGAACTGTCCTTGCAGGCATGTTGACCAGCAGAGGGGCACCACAACGCATGACATGGCTTCTTCTGTGCAACAGCCTTTTCAAGTTGCTAATCAGTTTCATTTTGTTGCTGATGGATTCCACTCATTATCAATTTCAGTATTGCGAATCTGTTTACTCCACCCAAGGGCTCTACATCTTTTGCATGCATGCAACAATGGGCAGCGTAAGCTAGTGGTTGTTGCACAAAGAGAACCCACGGCATTCAACGGGCCGAACTCCATATGTAAGGTTTGTGGTGCTGTTTCGCATTCCTGTTGCACACAGAATTTGCTCCACCGCCTTTACGCCAACTGCTGAAAGCTAAAGGCGCTCATCAAGAATATTGTGTTCACCTTGCAACCTGTGTTTCATTTGTTGCGAGACAGTCGTGTTTCTCAATGACATCACTGCACTCGCCCGGAAAAATGCGAACCAGCATGCTCTCTCCCGGTCTTAGGTTGATCGGTGACAACAGCGTACTGCTACTGAATGGTGCATATTCCCCAAAGCGATGGTGATTTGGCAGCTTGCTTCATTGCATCTGCTCACAGACACTGATCACAAATTTACTCTCGTCCCCGATTGCCTATCACTGCATGCATAGTACTGATTCTACTAGCACTGGTTCTGGTTCTATGCCATGGCTACTACTGCCATTGTAGTACTGCCAATACTCACGTTGCTGCTTTGACTACTGTACTATTGGTAAGCACCAAACGTGCATTAGTACTTTTAGTACTTACCTGGTCACAGCTCTGCTTTTTGCTACAGATATCTCTTTGCACTTTGCTACGATTGCAGTTTAGTCTTGGGCTCGCGAAGGAATATTTGTGTTAATATAGTCCAGCTTAAATCTGCTTAGACTTGTTTTGTTTGATGCGGTCTTGCTGAGCTCAAATCTGCTGAGCTGAGTTCCGTTCAATGTACAATACAACTAAGTACTTATAATTTTTCAGAGAGGGTCCCGGCTGATATTGCTTTCGCAGACGAAGCAACAGATTTACCAGGGTGACTGCAGTGGTTTATGCTGGGCCACATCAGTGCGGTCTGCAGTATGGGGCGTGAAGACACTTAAAACACATGTGGAAGACAAAAATGTGGTAAGAATGTCATAGACTGTTGCATGAATGAATGCAATATATAAGCCTTTCATATTGCAAAACAACGTTGATTTTCGTATATCAGTGTTTGAGGCCATTCCCATGGTTGACCGGCACCTGATTGGGGTGGGGGCCGGCCGCCACTCCTGCTGGGGCCAGCACCTTCTCTTGCACATCTTTGCCGCGCTTGAATGGCCTTCTGCATTTAACCTTATGGCAAAGATGGAGATCTCCAAATGCCTTGGCCCAGAAATCTGGGCATGATAGGCGGTTCCGATCCATTGGGTCATTCTCACATCATGCCCGTATTCCATGGCAAGTTGCATGATAAGGCGCAGTGCAGCACGTGCTAACCACATTGCCAGTTCATGAGGACTGCACCAAAACTTGGTATCAATGGTGTGACTAGTTCTGCAGGGAAGCTTGTTCTGATAGCACTGGCGTGTCCCTGAATATTACAAAAAAGGGGATTTAACTGCAGCTTCGAAATTTCAAGCCTTTGGGGGCTGAGGAATCCGCTACATTTGAGGGATTGACTTACAATGTTGACACAGTACTCCAAGTTCACATGCATAACAGTTCTGCAACGATGTGGTACTACCACGCCTTTAGGGAAAAGTGCACAAGGAAGTATTGCGGTTTGTATGGCTTTTTCCTTGTATGGTCGATTGTGAATTAAATTCATATTTCGCAGTGATTATTATAAGTTCCATTGTTAAATTTTATCCAAAGTTCAGTTGGTAAATTGGGTAATAATTGACAAAGCTTGCTTAATACGCTTTTGTTGAAACTTCATTAAGATCGTAGATTATGTGGTGGAGGAATAATATGCCAAAATCATTGACGTCGGTTAAGGTGGAATAGAGGAAGTACGAACTTCGTGTATCGTTGTACTTATTAAGTCAATTAAATATCTAGATATAGTAATGATATGCAAATAGCAGCCATTTGTGTGCTTGAGTGTGATTTCATTGTTGCTGGACAGGCGCCGAACATGCGCACATCAGAAGTCTGCTCCGCCCAGCGCTTTCTAGAAAGAGCGTGGCGAAAGTTGTACCATTCATTGTCAATGCTGCCAAAGAGACCTGTGACAAAGTTGATGGCCAGAATTGGCTTCCAATCAACGAAGACGTAGGTGCTTTTGTGCTGGGCAGATTTGGTGCAGTTGGTGGCGAGAAATCATCTGCGCATCGTGCCTTTATGGTGACGAATGCACATCAGGTTTGCCACGGGTTCATCATTTACACATGAGCAACAAGCATTTTGCTCACCCCTCAAGGGCCGAGTGGCGCGGAGGAGAGTACACTCCACGTTCAGCGACATTTAGGATGTGCGTACTGATTTATAGCAGTAATTTCTGTTTGCGCTTCATACCCATTCTTCGATTTGAAGTTGTGCCAGCAATCTATGTTTTTGATCCGCCATCGGTTTCGTTTTCTCTCTTCAAGAATAATTGTCTGCAAAAGAAAAATTTCGCTGTGCAAATTGCATTAAAATCGCAAAAGGCAACCAGAATCGGAAATATTGGGTCTGAGAAAACTTAATTTCCAATTTCCAAGAAAAAATAGACCAACACTTGTCCCTGTGAGCACCTTACAAAAATTGCTTGGGGCCGGTCCAAACAAAGCTCCTTCAGAGTCCGCTTTCCCAGAGAACCCCTTAACTCTGGGTCGCTCCTGTGCTTGCAAATATAATTTCCAGACGTTGCCGCTGCCGTGGTGAAAGGGGCCATCCAGAACGTGACGTAGCTCTTATCAAACCCATTCGACTTTGTCTGGATCCTGCTCGAATATGACCATTGCCACGGCAATATGGATGTTGGAAATCCGAGATGTTCTCAATCTCAGATGCGGGATTTTCTTTGAGCGGAAAACGCCAAGATCCTAGACTTTGAATAGTGGGCTCAGTGCGGGCTATTTCTCCAAGGTTGTTTTGTAGCCTTGCTTGGACATTCCGCCTCCCTCGATACCTGAATCGAAGCTTTTGTGTGCAGCTCAACCCAGAATATACACATAGATTCTACTTGCCAATTCCTGCACACGGTAAAAATTCATCACAGCCTAATGTGTCTCGATTACTTCAAAGACGCCACTTTACCCTGGCAGCCATTCTCCTAGCTCCCGATCTTTTCAAGGGCCAAAAAAGTCAGTTCGCAATTACAGTCACAATGGCCGGTTCACTACTTGTCAGCGGTTGACTGGGATAATGGCCATCACCTTGTCTTGCACCTTGCCAAAAAGACTGCGAGGCGTCCCGCGGTTGCCCTAAGAGCGGCGATGGAGGCTGCAAAGTCCTGGGTCAGAATTTTGGGACCGGAACATTGCTCTGATTCGCCGAATTGAGCTTGAGTTGTGGCCATAAGCTACGGCGAGTTTGGCGATCAGGGGCTTGCGAAACGTGTTTTCCATCCTATACCTCTTTGGAAGCTCGGTGACCTCCAGTTTGAACGGTCATCTTGCATGGGCGGCTGTTGTTTCGCTGCCGCGTAGGCGTGCTCCTCAACACAACGAAAACAATAGTA